AGTATGTCCACTACAGGTTAATGGCGTTTGCCTTAAATTTGACATATTAACATGTATTTTTAACGGATATTTGAAAATTATTTGTAAGAAAAAACAAGCAAATGTCATAACAAACACCCACACAAATTTCACGACATGCAATGAAGTGAACTTGGACACAAGCTTTTGCGAATGGAGAGGGCAAATGAAATGCATACTATGGAAATGGAATATCTATGGATGGACTAGTAACTGCGAATAACGACGCGGTTCTCATGAAAATATTTTCATTTTCAAAGATTAGAAAAATATAGTTTTTTATCTAATATATAATTAAGAAAATATAAAACATAAATTAATTATGCTAATTATTCAATGCTTCAAATGTAAAATTTTGACCCGGCAGATATTCAACTACCCCTAACCTGGATGTATTCCGTATCCTACCTGCCTCAAATTTGAAAAAAAGCGTGTTATTATTTTTGGTTTGTTGAAAATTATTAATAATTTTTGTTATTTTTCTTATTATCGAATTACTTTTTATTGTTTACGATTACCTATGTTTATTATTTAACTACATAATCAATTTTTTACTGATATTTGTTTAACAGTTGCCAAATAAATTAAAATTATTAGGCAGTAGTAAATTTTTATATCTATAAGTAAGTATTATAGTATAAATGCACAATATTTTTTATAATAAATGCTATTAATAATAAACTTTTATTACTTATGGTTCATATATTTTCTCATAATATGTATTACAGAATACATCTAACTGTTAATGGTTTATTATTCTGTTATATAATTTTTAAAAGAAAAATTAATATTCTATACATGTATATTATTTTATACATATACCACACACGCATATATGACACACACACAAAATATGTATGCAGAGTTTAACATGGTTCTTATACGAACAAATTATATGATAGCAAAATGCATGGATAATGTTATTAATTATTAATCTCAATATTATAAGTACAATTATATCTTACATTTATTTTTCTAATGCTAATAAGTAGTAAGTATTGTCAATAGTTTGTTAGAGAATTAGGAATGCACATGTTTTCTTTAAAGATTATGAATATGACCCGAAATTTAGAACATAAACTATTATTTTTGGACTACATAGTAATTTGTAATATATTTGATTAGATACGAAGCGCAAGCCTATGTTCTGCACAACAAAACGATATAATATGTTTTGATTCACATGCCAAAACGGCTAATAAATTATAAACAAATAATTTAGAATAAATTTATAATGAGGTAAGTTTGAATTATTTAACACAGTTTGGAAGAATGAGGGGAATTAGCATTTACAAATATTTTAATTGTTCATATTGCTTGTAGTATATTTCACTCATATATTTATAAATATATACATATATATTTATTTTAGCGTGTGTTTATATAAATTTAAGTAGTATTGCAGAAATTTTATATTTTAACATGATCTTAATTGCATATTATAAGCAGTTCTGCATTTGGTTTGTGTGATCTCGTACAAAATTTATGAACTGCTAATTCCCCTGTGCTTTATATTTAAGAAAGGCACTCAACATACAATTGTAATGTTGGAATTGAACATTTGCAATCATATTATTAAGTTTGAATGATCTACCAGTTATCTAATTTATAAGAACATTAATTTATAATAAGTTTTTCTTCACATTTATGTTAAAGATTCGATATAACATAAAACATATTCATATTAGCTTATTACATAATAACACAACAACATATATTTTATATAAGAAAAATATTTTTATATTTTGATTACATAAGTTATTCTTATTGATTGCGTTTACTTTCATTGCCAGAGTTATAAAGATTCTGACAGCGATTTGCAGCAATGTAAATTAACAGATTATAGTATATATATATATAATATATATATATATATATATATATATATATTATATACTATATGAGTTAATGTACATAAATCTATATTTACAAATATAATACAAATATCTCGAGATGATATGTAACTCAAAGTTTTATTACAATTTAGTCATTCATAAACTTTTTACGTTACTGCGAATAATAATTGAAGATGCTTTTTTAAAAATAATTATCATAATTTGCTTCACAAATTTTTATAAAAATATATTTAATAATACACGTAATAATACTATCAAAAAATTATAAAACTAAATGCAATTATGTATAAGTAATTTCGTTTATGTAAAATAATAAGTACATATAATATAATGTTTTGTTACCTAAAAATATGTTTATTTATATTAAGTTCTTATATTAGTTTAAAATAAATTAATATATATGCACAATATAAATCACAAACAAAATACATGAAAACATACAATTTTGCATTTGATACGAATAAAATATCTAATATTTTATCATGAAAATATTAAATAACATGGTGTAACCTGTAATATTTAAATATGCTTAGCCAATAATTTGAATAAATATGTCATATCAGTAAAATATGCTCTTATTGGCACAGTTATAATTAATTAAATCAATATATATTGATCACTAATACTATTACGTTATTGTAGAATCAGTTACAATAAATATTTGTGATACTTTTATTCCTGATTTGTATTAGATTAATCACTATTTAATTGATTATTGAAATTGTATTTACGCATTAGTATTATTTCTTACAATAACATAGAAACGCGTTGAAGTCACTATATTTCACTTAAATACATTGCTATATCATGCAAAAACTTGAATACACAATTTTTTCTTCCAACTTTTTATATATTTGAGATCCTATTTCCGAAATATCTCTTTCGATTTTTATTTAATTTTATATTCACAATTCAACATAATATTATTTGTGAGAAATTATATTTTTTAATATATTTTATGTATCTAATACGATGATATTTCAATGTACCAATGTAATATAATATACTTCAGATAATGATAATATGAACCAGGTACAGTTAGTTTTGAATATGGGTTGCATGAAAAATTTTAGCTTTCAAATTGACTTTGAGCAAATAACTTTAAAATAACAATTAAGATAGTAAATACATCAATCTAAGATGTATTAGTAATCAATGAAATGTGTACCAGTAGTCAATCAAATATTTACCTTACTTATAATTGATAGATTGACTTATGTAATACTGCTCAATAGATGTCTGATAAATTTATATGATTTGAATACTAATACAATAGTTAGTTTAATCATTATACAACTTATATTTCAGATCAAACAATTGCATTTAAAACTTAACATTATGTTTGTGTTTCATCGAACTGCATTTTAACAATTTGCCCTAAAATTTATAGCAACAAATGTTCAGTTTAAGGATTTTGTCAATTTTAGATGATAATTAATCTCATACAATTATTAAATGCTTTTTAAAAAAATAATGTAAAGTTTTTGGCACAATTACTTCACAATAATTCTAAGAATTCTTTTAACATTATAGTTTATTAGTTTTTTTATGTGTAACATCAACAACTTATGTGTCTATTATTTTGAAAATAAGAAATAGATTCTTTGTATTTTTTATTTATGTTATCATTATATAATATATTATATCATTTGACATATAAGACACTATTGAAAATAACAAGTACAGTATATTCAACAACCCTATTTAGAATGAATTATTATTTTATGATTGTAGAAAAAAACTGATTTATTGGAAAGGCTTAGACTAGAAAAAATAGAAATATATTTGAGGTTTACACATATATGACATTATGCATACAAGTACTAGATGTTTAGAACAAAATAACTATCTTCTCAAAAATTTTACTCGTTTAACTTGTATATACACATTCCTTTTTACATTCATATATATACATACATATATATATATACATACATATATATATATATATATATATATATATATACAAAGTCTAGTAATCAGGCATAACATCAATAAAAACACATGAATTTCTTTCAAAAATTTATTTTACATCCATACATTTCCTAGCCTTTATTCAGTGGAAACTAAAACTGAATGAGTGCTAGGATTATACTGAATGAAACGTATGGATGTAAAATTTTGAAAGAAATTCATGTGTTTTATTGATGTTATGCCCGATTTTTAGACTTTGTTAATGCATATGTCAACATCAAATTCCGAATCATACAACATATATATATATATATATATATATATATATATATATTTAAATATATTTAATGTTGTAAAATATATTTTTAGAATTGTTTATTCATGAGATGAAATATTACTTAAGTAATATTAATGTCATAACTATAACAATTTCACGTTAAACTGTGTTATCAATATGTTATTTCTATTACCTTTACAGACTAAATAAAAAAATCCTTCATATGAACTTGTTGATTCTAACAACCAGAAAATTCAATATTATCAAAAAAACTATGATAAATTGCATAAAGTTCTGTAATTTTATTAAATATAAAACTTTTATTAAAAATAAAAGTTTTCATAGCAGAGCTACTAAATCTGTTTGATTATTCATTATGTCATATAAGAAATAGCTGATGTTCTCAATTGTAAGTTGCCAGCAAACCATAGATAAATAAAATACAAATAAATCATTTATTATTTTTTCTCAAATTAATTCTAACGATTGATAATACATGACGAACACACCTGTTCAGAGACCCTCAGAAAAACATAACTTCTTCTTCAGGAGCTCCAGATGATTGCGACCGCGCGTTCTGAATTTTTCTGGTATCTTTGGATAAGTGTTTGTTCTACCATAAAGTTTATGAACATTTGTTAAAAACTATATAAATTTATAATGAAAACATTAACCAATAAATAAAAAATATTGTTTACCTTCCAGGTTTACTTCCTGCATTTTGAGTGCTAATTGGTGAATTGGCACCAGAATTATTTTCAGATGAAGGTGTGGCCTGCATCATAGCCGGGCTGCTTCCGGTTCTGGTATGAACACCCGTGGGAATCGCCTGCAATATATAAAAAATATGTTAAACAAATATATATATATATATATATATATAATATTATATATATATATGTATGATTGAATACAGCCCATGCGTCGAATGTAGAAATACTAACACGACATTGTTTTAGAGGAAGGGGATCAATCAGGGACGTAGTAGAAAATCAGATTACAGATATTAACTAAATTTTGAATAAAAAAAAAACAGGATTCGGATTCTTTTCAAATTCAAATTGTGTGATAAACGCAGTTCTTCTTGCTTTCTTTGAAAGCTATCAAAATTCGATTAACTTCTGTAAATCTGATTTTCTATTACGCCCCTAATTGATCCTCTTCCTCTAAAACATGTCGTGTTAGTCATACTTACCACTTGTCGGTCGTACGTCTCTCGTGTTCGTTGCGATTTATGCGTAGAATACATGCAGTGTTTTAAAATTCGTTATTACATTTACCCTTTTCAGTTCTTTTTCAAATTGTTTTTGTTTTCCTACAGTATTGGCATGTAATTGTTGTATTTGTGGTGATTGTAACATGTGTTTTTTCCTGGTCTGGTATGTATAATTTAATTTTTTTTAAATTAATTTTTCTAATTGTTTTATTTTTAATTCTAAAACTTTTCCTTATATTGTAAATTTCTTTTAGCTGAATGATGAAACATATATATTGTCACAAAACATATAAAAATTTTAATAAACATTTGTACATTCGATGCATTGGCTGTTTTATTCAATTCAATTTAAATAGAATCAGTATCAGATTTGGATATATATATATATATATATATATATATATATATATATATAAGTATATATACTAGCAAACCCGACGAATTCCGTTTCGCCACCAGATGGTTTCGTGAGAAAGATGAAGAAATTTTTGTTTGTTTTATATTTGAAAAGGAAAAATTTGATTTTATTGCACAACAGTAATGAATTTATTTCGATTACAAAAATGAAGTGTTTTTTTAGTTGAACTTCTCTAAGTAAATGAAACTGAATCCGCCAATTATCCGTTTCATTGAAGTACTCTTTGGTAAACCACATTTTTTGTTTTTTGGTCTGACGTTAACACAAAAAAAGCGGATGGTTTTCCAACTCGTGAACAGGGAACGTACAACTGCCTTGTGAAAAACAATGATCTCTAAATAATCTATTTGAAATTTATCCCGCAAACCTAAGCGATTGGCCTTATCATCGCGAACGCAAGCGAACTGGAAATTGCAATCGTTTGAAGTCAAACGGAAGACCAGTCGGAATCATTGTATTCACCAATCGCCAGCATTTTTGATTGAATGGTGAAATTCAGTGCGTGTACATCATTATTCTTTGCGGGCAAGATTGCTAGTTGACTTAACCAGCATAATTCTGATATTTCTCACTAATTCATTCTCGAACTTTATATTACGGTGCGTGAAGTTTCCGCAATTTGCATTAGGGCACGATGCCATGCACCACTAATTTTCTAGCTATAAACCTTGCGAGCCGAGACCTTCCAACGAATGCAAAAAATCGGTTCGTGCGTTCTGGAGTTATTTTTCAAGAAGGAAAACCCCGACTTATTTTTTATATATAGAAGATATATATATATATTATATATATACTAATATTTTCTATCAACGACGTTTCTAAAAGCAGAATGTCAATTTTTGTTATTCAATCTAAAGAAATTGTAACAATAACTTCAAAACGAAATATATCATTTAAAAGATATCATATGTGAATCAAATTCAACTTACGTCGACAATAGGCGAACCAGAACTTAGCCTATGATAGGCTACCCCTCCTCCAATTGATCTTCTGGACAGCGAACCGGTTCCATCGCTCGCGTGTCCACTAGAGTTGGCTAGTGTCTGACTTAGTTTCATAGGCAGCATTTGCTGGACGCTACTATTGGCGCATGTAACTACATGAGATGATGTTGATGATGCGCTGGACTTACTATTGGAAAGATGTGATAACTTAAGCGGTATTTGCTGTTTGATGGACTGCTGTTGTACTTTAGGTTGATTTGTTGCGCTGATTAATTGCAAAGGTAAACTGGCTTCATGGGGCCTGTGAATATAGGAAATATAATATGAAGATGGATATCTCACTTGGACGTTGATTAGACAAGCACTGGTTTAAATTTTAATTCTGCTATTTGCTTAATAATTTTGAATTTATAAATCTAATTTAATGAACAGTATTAACAATGCTATATATATATATATTATTTCAGACTTACTCCAACTGCAATATGAAAATTTAATTGGAATTTATTTATATATATATATATATATATATATATAATGGGTTGTACCGCCCTAGAACAGGTTTGTGAGCAGATTTAAACTCTAAATCGATTCATAAAAAAATAGTGTGAGACTTCCCATTTCTATTTCACAGTGCTCGATATTGGTTACATATATATATATATATATATATATATATATATATATATATATATATATATACATATATATGTGTATGTCTAATTTGAGTTTAAAATTCGGGCGTAACATCAATAAAAATAGTATGAGAGTTTTTTAAAAAGTTTATTTAAATTTCATACGTTTCGGCTAGCATCATAGCCATCATTCAGTGATAATCAAATTAACTATAAAAATTAAAACTAAATAAATAATATGTAAGAATTTTCATAGAAAAACAATAATAATAATAATAATAATAATAATAAAACACTTTCAATTTTGTATCCTAATATATTATATGAAACCATTATTAATCCATGGTATGAGAAGGTGAACATTGATAAAATATATATTTTTTAACATTACAAAAACACTTTAATAACCATGATAACTCAACAAGTTGTCAAAACTATGTATTTACTCTTCGGAGTTTAAGATAGAAATGTCACATTTTTCTTCAAGCAGTTTTTAGCATGTGTTCAAATTTTACGGGAAATTTAAAGAGCGATGAGATCTTGTCATTTTTTAAGAAATTTTGACACACTATTAAGAAACCATGTGTTTGTTTCGTTCAGGGCCATATTGTCGAAGCGTTTGTTTATGACCGTATTGTCGTATGCAATTGCAAAAACAATCCCTCAGCAAATCTTCTTTTAATTACGTTCTCTTCAAAATGTAAAAATTTAGGGTTGAAAAAATCTATATTATGGTTTAAAATTTTATTATGCTCAGTTAACATCGTCTTAATTGCTTTGGATTTTTTAGTTATTTTTATGTTGACGAAGGCGTTTACTCAGGTTTTGACTAGTTTCTCCGATATAAAAGAGTTTGCAATTAGTGATAGCATATGATATATTAGGATACAAAATTGTAAGTGTTTTATTATTATTATTATCATTTTCTATGAAATTTCTTACATATTATTCATTTAGTTTTAATTTTCATAGTTAATTTGATTACGACTGAATAAAATGGCTGAATATGGCTTTAAATAAACTTTTAAAAAAAAACTCTCATACTATTTTTATTGATGTTACGCCCGAATTTTAAACCTAAATTAAACAAATATCAACATCAAATTCAAGACTATTCAATATATATATATATATATATATATATATATATATTATATATATAATGTATATATACGTATATCATACTTATAGGTTATTGTATGTATGTAATGTATACTATTATCATGTATGATGGTAGAATAAAAGTAACAACTGTGTAAATTTTTTTGATGAAAGTATCAGTCTTACTTTTCCACTTCCACTTTGTCCACTTTTATTTTTCCACTTTGACCACTTTCTGGTGATTCTACTTGTTTATTAACATCATCAATCGGCATTGAAATTTTTTGAACAAACAGATATTCCCTGAGTTAAGGGAGGTGTCACGGCTGGAATTGCCACTGATGCTTATTAAAAGACCCTGATTAGACAATACTTCCATTTTGCGGTATAGTTGTTCACGTTGCTGTCGCACATCTTCTTGTTCAGCTTTGACATGTTCCTGAATTGATAGAATAAATTTATTTCCTTTTATCCATTATAATAAAATACAAAAAAAAAAAAATTAAGACGCGATTGTACCTGCAATGCTAATATTTCCTGTTTCGTTTGTTTGAGTTCAGCTTCCTGCATTATTCGCTCTCTATTCCACGCCTCTTTTTCTACTGTCAACTTATCCTGTAAATTTCTGAGTTCCTCTAATTGGTCATTATGCTTATATTTAGCGTTGCCCGGTTGGGCACCAGTGCCCTGATATGCGGAAATTTGGGCTTGCAAACTAAAAGTAATATTTTTGTAGTTTATTTAGTATAATCATTTATACTGTAGTACATCAGAAGATAAAATTTTCTTCACCTATTAATGCTTGTCATTTGTTGTGATATTATACATAGCAACATATAAACATAGTGAGATAGCTGAACTGCAGCTTTCTGTTGTTCCCTTCCTAATGATAATAAAGCAGGAGAATCATTTGGATTAATATCTTTCACAGAAAAAGTAGAATTTTGATCTGATGTTTCTTGAGAATTATTCACAATATTGTCATGATTTTCAAGAACTCCAATAGGAACAGTTGACAAAACGGCGCTTTTCCACGGAAGACGATCCTTTAGTAAAATTCAATACATCAATAAATTTGTATTATTCAGCACTTTTACATCAATTAATTAATTGCAAATACAACACAGTCAAAACATTCAATACTCACTAAAGGTAGCTTGTGAGATATGCGCCCATCAACGTTCTCAGAGCTATTTTCTTTTTGTGGAAATTTTTTAATCAATCCTAAAATAAATAACGGACAAGTGAATTAACGCCATTTATGAAATACTATCCTTACAAATATTAAAATAATATTATTTGATGTATGTATATAATAATGCAATATGTAACAAAATCCACATGTTTTGCATTCATACTGACTTTTCGTACCTCTGAGATTTGGATTGTCAAATCCACCAAATGTTTCTGCACGCTTCGGAAGTGTCGGCGACTCATAAGCATTACTTTGCCTTTCACCAGCCGAAGACACTGACCTGGACAAGCTGCTGCCAGCAGCATACAATGAATTGGCAAGTAAACTAACTTCTTGTACAGCACCAAGTACTTCTCGCCAGATGAGACCTACATTTGGATAAATGCGTTAGTATTGATTTAACTTATTATATTTACCTCATCAATAGAGATCATTATTTTACAAGGTATTAACCTCGAATGAAAAAGTTTCTGTGGACTTATATTTATATTAATTTTTTTATGTAATTTTTGGATTCAGTAATGACGAATCTGACTTAATAAATATTATGGTATCAAATTTCAGTTTGGTAACTTTGCTTACCAGTATCTGCTGCATCTGTTACAAGCTGTCTGTATTGTGGTGGATCGGGTACACCTTGTAATCCAGCTGCTGCTAGAAGTTTTAATTGCAATCCCATCTTCTCTTCAAGCAATAAGGCATGTTCAACATCTTTTTGTCTCAGAGCCCCTATTTTCAAATATTCTTTTATAAATTTATATATATATATATACATATATACATATATATATGTATACGAGGTCTGTTCAAAAAGTACCCGGAATTTTCGTTTTTTCAAAAAAATATTTATTTATTCGTCTACATTAATGTGGTCCCCTTCAAAGTAGTCCCCCCCAGATATAATACACTTATGCCAGCGTTTTTTCCAATTTTCGAAGCACCCTTGATATTCACTTTTTGATATGTCCTTGAGCACTCTCAGCGATTCGGCCTTTATTTCTTCAATCGAGGAAAACCGCCGTCCTTTCATGGGTCTCTTCAACTTTGGGAATAGGAAAAGTCACACGGAGCCATATCTGGTGAATATGGAGGTTGGGGCATGACTACGGTATTGTTTTTGGCCAAAAAAAATTACGAACAAGCAACGACGAGTGAGCAGGTGCGTTATCGTGGTGCAACAGCCATGAATGTTTTTCCGTAAATCGGAGCGTTTTTTCGGATTGCTTCACGCAAACGTCGCATCACTTCAAGGTAATACTCCTTATTAACCGTACGACCTTGTGGTAAGAACTCTTGATGCACTATGCCGCTATAATCAAAGAAACAGTAAGCAAAACCTTGACATTCGATCGAATTGACGTGCTTTTTTCGGTCTTGGCTCATCTGGGCTCTCCATTGGGGACGATTGGGCTTTGGTTTCGACATCATAACCGTACACCCATGTTTCATCACCAGTTATGACCCTTCAAGCAAACTTGGATCGTTGTTGACGTCATTAACAGCTCTTGAGCGATGTTCATGCGATTGCTTTTTTGGTCAAAATTTAGCAGTTTTGGAATGAATTTTGCTGCCACTCGTTTCATGCCCAAAACATTTGAAAAAATGTTATGACATGAGCCAATTGATATGCCAACTTCATCAGCAACTTCTCTAATTGTGATTCGGCGATCATTCATAACCATTTTTTCCACTTCTTTCACATTTCATCGTTTGTTGACGTGCTGGGTCGACCGGAGCGTTCGTCATCTTCAACGTCTTCGCGGCCATCTTGGAAACGCTTATACCACTCGTAAACACTTGTTTTTTTCATAGCAGACTCACCATAGGCTTTTTGTAACATTTCACACACTTTGTTACACTTTATTTCATTTTTTACGCAAAATTTAATACAAATTCTTTGACTTTTCAATTCTTCCATTGTAAAAATCTCCGAGCTCAGAAAAACACGTCGAACCTTAGCGACTACCACAGACAAAGTAAACAGTGAATATAGCTGAAAATTTCATCATACTTTAGGGGCATGTATACCAACACAATAAAAAAAAAATTTTTGACAATCAGACACTACAGACCCGCGAAATTTAAAAATTCCGGGTACTTTTTGAACACACCTCGTATATGTTCTTCTCATTGTAAAATGAAAGCTTTAACATAACGTTTTTTTAGAAATACTTCAAAAACCAAGTTCAAATTGATTTAAGTTACCTTCAATTGCAGATGGTCCAGCTTAGAACACAAAATATTAATTATATGTTATGTCTTAAAATATTGACAAATGATAATAAATTATGTCAAAAATAATTATGAATAATAAATAAATGAATGGAATTATGTATTTAATTATTAATTAAATAATGCATATACTTACAGACAATATTACGAAGCTGTGTTTGCTTCGCTTCAAGTAACCTTTGTTGCTCTTCAGCACTCAAAGTAAATCCTTCCTCTTCTGGTTGAGGACATTCTTGAACAGCATTTCTAGATTAAAAATATCATGAAAATTCCAAAAATATACAATTATTTGAACAGAGTGTAAAAGATCTATTTACCTTATGGCTTGTATCCAGGCAGTCTTATCTTTTGGCTGATGTACCTTCAACTCAAACATTTCGGGGTCCAAAGGGTTTGAAGAAATTAAATAAATTCCTCTAGTATCCTGACCTGCTTTTTCTCTAACCAATAACTTTTGTAAAGACACAACCCCAGCCTTAAGTAAAAAAAAAATACATTAAAACAATTACTTAACATTCAAAGAATTATTTTGAGATGATACTCTCATAAAACTCACCTTATTATCTGGCGTGAAGAAGTTATACTTATGAGAACTTTCTTGTAAGAAAAATAAGCAATCACTGAGTACTATCACCATTACTAGTTGCATTTTGCCTCGTCCTTGCATAAGCATGGCGAGACCTTCGAAACGCAAAAGTTCGATTTGCCGCAAGAATATCACTCTTCTTAAATTTGATGCCACGATGGACAGTGTACGATTTCGCATCTATCCTATTGTAAATTTCTAACTTACGATCTTCTTTTTCCTTTAAAGCTACCCGAGCGTCCACTTCCGTTAAGATTTCCTTCAAAATACATGAAAACGATTTTAAAAAAATGAGGTGACGCATCTACACAATAAAAATCTAAAACATGGTTTTGTTTATTACCTTTGTTTTTGTTTATTTGCTTAATAAGCTAAGCAATACATTACAGATAAAGAGCCCTCACACAAAATTTCACTATTATTATTAACAAAATAAAAATAATATTTATAATAATAAAAATAATCACCTTTACAAGAGCCAAAGCATTTCTTAGTTTTTCCTGTTCTTGCGGATTATCTCTTGAACTTTTAATTAAAGGTTCAATTAGCAATGGATATTTGGTTAATCGTTGAGTGACAAAAAGTATGCACTCAGGAACACCTGAAATGGTTAAAAAAATAATAATAATATATTTTAAAAGCAATTTTATAACTTTCAATAACAACTCGGATTAAATTTATTTTCGTTTAATCTGAGCAGACTATGAAAATTTGAGATCCTTATGGTAAAGTCCGTTACTTTATAATTAAGTATTTTTGGAAAGTTCTAAAATCATTAAATTATGATTAATATAAATTTGGCTTTTATAACTTTGTCAGAAAATTAGAAATCAAGAGTCACGCAATTTACATTTTTTCAACACCATTGCTCTTGTATATCAGAAACTGATAATTATAAATGTTTAAATTCAAGATTTTATTAGTTACCTTTCTTTTTCAATTGCGGTGTTATTTGACAATGCCTTATGAATTCCACAAATCTTGGATCAGCGGACATATAATACTTATACGTTTCTAAAGCATCTCTATGTCGGGAACAGAATTCACCTGTAATAAATATTTAATATGAAATGCGGCTGCACATATACTTTCGGCCGATTAAAAAAAGTCATTAATTCAAACTTCCAAAATATTATGCAGAACTCTTTATTTCATTTACCGTAAGCGTCCTTTAGTCTTTGGGCTTGTAGTCCAGAAAACATATCTAATAAAATGTCAGCCAATGAATCTACGACAGGTCCTTCCTGTTGTTTAGTGCGTAATCTACGCATAAAACTACAACAAGAAATCACGATAATATTATATACATTTATATAGTTAATTATAAATAAGTTCAAATTTAAATTACCCTAGATGCAAATCAGTTAGATCCTGTAACCTCGGAAACATTCGATCTAGATTTGCCCCTAGCTGAAAATGCTTTTGAAGACCTTCAACAAAGACCTAAACAAATGAAGCAATATTTCAAAAATGTATGTTCAAAATGGTTACATTACAATTTGTGCATTCTACAAAATCAAACCTTTTGCATTACTGTTAACGTCAAACAATGATGCTTTTCGGTAAGTATAAATTCATATATGTGTTCTTGACGTTTTATTTGTTTATCTTTCAATTGTTTCAACAATTCGCGGGCTGTAGTAGGAGTCCAAGAATCGGGTTCATCAGCGCATAGGGCCAGCAAAGGGTCAGAACAAAGTTCTCGAGCACCTATTGGAGCTTCTTCCAAAAATTCAAATCGCACAAGTGGCGCATCATCCGAAAAACTGCCGAATAAATAAAAAATCAATTTAGTAAATTATTTGAAAAACTTTTTATTCAATCAATAGCACCGAAGAAGAAATTTATAATATTTTAATATAAGCAAAAATATCAGTAAAAGAGTTGTATAGTTCGAATTATGAAATGATTCATTTAGTTGATATTCACAACTGAATAAAAACTCAAAATCCATTTTTTAATTAATTACTTCAAGTAAATAACGTTCAAACTTACTTTACTCCATCATGGCTAGCGTGTGAAGTGATATCGACCCCATCATGCCCGCTGCAAAACATTCAAATAATTAAAGAAAAGCTAAATATGAACAAGTTCCAGGTTGCAAGACAATTGCGCATTTGTGCGTTTTATACATGCTAACAAATCAATTTTAACAAGTAACACAATGATGAACCTGAAAATTATATATATATATATATATATATATAGATATACAGCAAAAATACAATAGTAATACTATAAAAAACATAATTATAGTAATATAGTCCAAAGATTGTAGATCTAATAGATGCTAAAGACTTCATTACCTGAGATAGTGAAAAACAGTATCATGTAGTTCTGTGTAAGATGAGATACAACATTAACAATTAAAAATAGTTATACTTGTCACGAAACACTTCGTTTAATTATTGCAATAAATCGCATGAAACCAAATCATTATAAATAGATTTAACAATTGATAGATTTCTAAATGTTAATAATAACATATATGGAAGATAAAGTAAATCATCCAATTAGATTAATAGCTCAAAATAGAAAAAATACTGAATTAAGTTAACAGAAAAAATGTCATTTCGGCGAAGCTAACTTCTAAATGATTAATATTTATTTACTTATGTACTAATCAATATAAAATTAACATTAACATACTAACATTAGAAACAAGCCTATGAAAAATGTGTTCTTGACAGAGACAGAAGATACATAGTTGTCAACCAATTAATATAGAAACATAAATCGTTCCCCGAAACAATAAGCAGAAATGATATTCCAAATTTACATAGAAACTTTAGATAGTACATTAACTTTAGTTATACATTAAGGAAGTCAAGAAACCTTAACGGATGATTTATACTTGCATTAGGATAAAGTGGGGCTAGATGCCTCATTAGAATATTGCCAAAATTGTTTGCTAATATCTATATTTTGATCGATCGTTCAATATTAAGATTTTAGTAATAAGAATCGTTATTTAGGCAACTGTTTGATTGTTCAAAAAGCTGTCTGATTTAATCTCAACATATTCGAAGACAAAACTGTAAAGTTGAGCCTGAGCCCATTATTATCAAGCTGTTATTACTAAACGTCCAATACCAAATAAATAATATCAGATTCTTCAAAGCTGAAACGATTGATATTTAACCAATATGAATCTGAGAGCGCAAGTGTGTCTGCATTTCAATTTAAAATACTATTTAGAAGGTAATTACTTCTTGCCCAATGTGGCTACTTATATCAAAATACAAGTATGTTTTATGTTTCGTGTATATTTTATATGCTAATAAAATACACATTTTTTCGATAGTAACTAATCGATAGTATATTTAGATTTTGAATACATTAATAGATGTTATGCGTTAAAATACTAGAAAATATTTTTTTAAGTGAGGCATATAACCCACCTCTCCCATTTTAATGTAAAATGAAATATCTAAATTCAATAACTTATAGAACTAAATCTCAAATGTATAAAAAGATTGATTGGAGCAAAAATTATTATTAATTGTTATTAATTATTATTAATCATGGAACGAAAAGTTGTTAATTACAAAATAAAATAAAAGATCATAAAAAATACTGAAAAAACAAGGGACAACTGAAATTATATGTATATATACGATTATAATAAATCACAACATTAGTATAAATATGCAGGATTCTGAAGAGAGAAAGATAAAATGTACACTTCAACTCATAAAAACGACCTATTCTATTCGATTCAAACATTCAAATGCAAAGAAGAAGAAAGAATGTTGAAAAATTTATTTTTGTTAGGGACTTACTTAACACCCAATTTTGTGGCAACCCTACGCCATGGCGAATAACATCCAGTCACCTTCTTACTGTGAGGTTTCAGAAAAGTATGATGGATAAACACAAAGATTTTTAATGTGCTGACCAGGAATTTAAATATAAATGCAATTGTGTAAAAATAAATTGTTTTACATAACTGATTACTTATTTATGCAGGAAGAAAAAAAATAATTTTTGGGTAGTCACATAAATCTCAACAATACTATATATTACCATATATACAAAGCTACCAATAATTACTTTTACATAAAGCCCAAGATCTTAAATTTGACATTATTATTTTAAATTGATTTATGTTTATTGGGAAATTGTGAAGTATCCTGGCAAAACGTGTTTCGGATACTAATCTCTGATGAAAATTAATATTTATTACGAGATTATTTTCTCATAATTTTGTAATTAATGTATGAAAAAACCCATATATTTCGTGGAAAAATGTATCAATAAATAAATTCAATAAATTTAAAGATTAGTACAATTTCTGGTTTTCAACTTTCTGCTTCTCAAAAATGTATTTTCTATCTCCAAAAATCAAAACTATATGAAAGTAATCTAATGATAAAACCAATTAAATGTCTCTCTCTAGATATTCAAGTGATTTTATGTACATGCACTTAATAATTCTTAAACTTATAACAAAATTGCAAAAGATAATTTAATAATTGTCTTCTTAAATTTAATAAAAAGATTAAACAAAGCATAAATCTTTTTAAGATGCACAATTAAAGCTACATAAGCTATGTGGACCAAAAGCAGTAATAAGTTGTATTTTTACCCAAAATAATACTAGTAAATATAAAATAATCTGAATTTTATTATTAGTACGAGTTTATGCAAGATTCTAATAAACCAAATGTATTAGAACGACTTAAAAATGTGGTAATAGCATTATGCAACTAATTATAATTAATTAAAGAATATGTAAAAATTTGATTCAAATATTAATATATATGTCTTTTATTCAATCATAAGGAATAAATTGTTATGCCAATGTAAAAACATCACGGACGCCATGCATGTTAAATAAAAAAAAAATTATTACCTATTTGGTGGAGCTTGCGTGAAAGATCCGCGCTTTCCCGAGCTTTGTCTGCGAGCTTGAATAGATGCGCCGATTGTGGAAGATTTGAGAGAAAGCTATAAATAATGCAATTATAAGTTGAAGTTATTTATAGATGATTAATATATTCTGTGAGTATTGCTTTATTTTTATTTTTATGTTATAACTTCCAGAAGAAATGTTTAAGGGGGTATTCTAGTGTAGAGCGATGAATTTTAGGTCATTTTTAAAGTGTCATAAAAGAAAGCAATGAATATTTTTACTGTCCATTTTTTACCACTTGTTTATTAATATTATTAAAATACAAAACGAAAACTAAAAAATAAAAAAGTTGAAAATTGTGAAAACCGGCAGCTGATAAATTGGGTAGTCTCAAAAAATTAGCACCTCAGTCTTGACATGATTTCAGCCCTCCTAGCCATCGGAAATGCAAAAAATAAATAGATTATTAATCTACAATGATGTGGCAATCGCCTGAACTAGCAATGAGTAAAAATTTTTTTTAAAAAAAAATTGGCGACTGTTTGAAAAAAAGTGCTTTTTTACTGTTTTTTTTTTTTTGAGTTTCTCGAATTTTTTAAAAATAGTAAAAATTGGAATTTGGGGATAATCCTAGTTCAGGCTATAGATAGGTCTATAAACAAGACTCTCTGAATATTTCAAGTCGGTCGATTAAAACTAGAGAAATCGTGTCAACAGTACTGAAAAAGCCTGTTCTGAGAAAAAACGCATTTAAAGTTTTGCGTGAAGCCAAACCAGTATGAAGACCGAGTCAGTAAAATGCCTATATCTCTGAAAATAATTCAAATTTTCAAAAACCTTCTCGTATCCATATTCTTAGATAATTAAACTTTGAAAATATGAAACAAAAAATAAAACGATTTTTTTTAATTTCTACACAAGAGTACCCTCTTAAATTTTGGCGAGAGAATCGGATTTGCTAATTTTATATTTTCTGCAGCAACTCTAAATCACTCATAAATTAATATATTGATTTCCTATTAATTAAGTCAATCATTTACAACTTAAGGCAAAATGCCACTTATTTTATTTTCTCACAATACCTTAGACATTTTGCCTTTGCAATCGGAAAGATGATCCTTGCATGAACTGTAATGCACAGTTATTCCGCAATCTGAAATATAACAATAAAATATAAACTCTTAAATTATGATTCTATCTAATAATTATATGAAAATATAAGATTTTTTCTAAGAAATTATGGTACTAAATTAAAAATAGATATTCATCTTCAATTAAAAATGTTTGCTGTTATTCAATGATTTGGCGTCCGGGTATGATGAAATCCTGTTAGAAAATAAACCTCAAAAAACGTTATATACAAAAATATTTGACGTTGTGAATGTTTGATGACTGTTTGGAGAAATTTAATGTTAAGTTTATAACATAACATTATTAACTTGGAGGTTAGATGTTAACTTACTTTCACACGTGACTTGCGGCTTGGTGCCAAGTTGCTTCGAGCACCAATCACAACAACCTTGAGTGATAGTAGAACCCCAAACATGATGTACACGTTCCAATACACGTTGCTCTTTTTCTTTATCCTTGTCTTTTTTCTTCCTAAAGAATAAACTACCACGTTTGCGGCGTTTCTCCGAATGCTGGTCATACGATCTGCAAAAAGTAGAAATAATTTTCCAACTTAAGAACTGAATCAAAATCAAGCGCATAAATAATTGTAGATAAATATGTGAATATTTTACTGTGCAAGCAATCGGTGCAGGTCAGCAGCCGCAGGTTGTGTATGCCTCCTACTATCTTGTACTGAATCTTCTTCAGTTTCACTTTCCGTACCAGTACGCCCCCTAAAATAAATTTACACATATACATAAAATATATCATTGGCATATACATAAAATACATGATTAGCTGTAATGATACTTTTAGTATAAATATAAGAAATAGTAGATTTACGTTGACATTGTTCCTGAGGAAACTGGAAGCATTTGCGTTTCAACATTATTTTCAGTCCAAGGTGCAATGCTGGGTGTAGAAACTGATTTTTGTAAAGGTAGACGTACTGGAGCTAGCCTTGATTGCGCTTCTCGTAATACTATTATTTTATTAAAATCACTCTAAAAGTAAATATAACATAAACATTACATACAATATAATCTTCTGTAATATGAATTTTTTTTAAAAAAAATCATATTTAAACCTGTAGATCAGCCTCGTTCAAAGAATGTGTTGAAATACCGCCAGCGGAACGTGGATCTCGACTTCTATGATGCGCAATTGCTCTTACATTTGATGCAGGTCCCGTTTGTGTATCAGTCATAGAAGAATCAGGCTCAGAGTCCAAACTACTTAAACTTATGCTGGAAATATAATACATATACTTTACATTAAATAATTAACTTTTATTCCAGACAGTTTGTGACAAATTTTAGATACATGTAATAGATATTCAAATATTTGTATTTTCTTGTATATTTCAATTTAAATGATAAGAAATACGAATAAAATCTTAAATAACATCTAGCATTAATGTTTTGATTTTTCTATGTAACATAAAATATAATTAGAATCTTTTAAAATCTAATATGCTTACATCTAAATTTAAGCTGAATATACAACGCACATGCTTAACCAGCTTTTCAAGTTTATTGGAGACAAATTCATAATAAAATAAATATTTCAAATTAAAATTTTAAATTTAAATGTATATTTCGAAATTTGTCGAAATATAATGTCATCAAGGATCCTTTAAAACAAAGATAATAATTGTAGTTTGATAAATATCTCGTATAAAAATCATAGTAATAAAGGATTAATATTAACATCTAAAATCATAGAAAAACACAAACAATATTGTTAATTATATACGCATATATTATAATATACCGTCATAATGTATGTGGCATATATTGAAAAAGCTAAGAAATAAGTAAAGAAATAATTTCGACTCTGGAAAAGTCGTATAATAATAATATAGTACTTCTGCCGTATACAACTCAATGCTTTAAAATGCTTATCTCTAAATATTACTACCAATAAGTGTTGAATATAATGAGTGTTTTTATATAAAACGAACCTGCGATGTGTTTTGGCTTTATCGACCCTAAGGTCTTCTAGAGCAGTCCATGATGAGCGTCGTTCTTGTCCAGGTGGTCCGCCAGTGCCCAAGGTAGACCAGTGCTTCCCCAGAAACCAGCGCCTGCGCTACCAGTGCAAGTTGCACCAGTACAATTAACTAAATCCGGTAATGAAGGGCAAGAGGCGCTCAAGCGAGCTGACAATTCCAAACTCTGTCATAATAAATATAGAATAAAGACAATTAAAAATTAAATTATGCTAAACTCAATAATAAATAAATTCACTCAAACATTCATTCAAGACAGATTATATTTGGAAACTTCGAACTCTTCATTGGAATTGTTTCAATAGGATATCCTAGTACCTTCATTTTTGATAAATGACCTTCAGCAAACAAGTACATAAGACATTTGCTGTACCCTTTGCTCTCGGATGCTTTACCCTTTGCTCATAAGATATTTGCTGTACCCTTTCCACTCGGATGACAGCGTTCCGATGGCAAAATTCATATAAATCTCGGAATTTGCGAGTGGAAAGGGTTAAATCACTAGCACAAATGATGCATTTATCTAATTTAGCGCAAATGTTTTGTCAAAATAATATGGTAACAATATTTCCTTTATGATTTTTTTTAGAAATAAAACAAGTAAAAAGCAATCGATAAAATTAACACATTTTGTTCAACAAATATCATAATAATTTCAAATGCACAATTAAACTTGCATGAAAATTGACTTAAAAAGTTTAATAAATATAAGCTTCTGAAGTATTATACAATATTTGAATACTTTCAACTTTCCTATTAATATATAATTGAGTTTATATAATTTAGTTTTAAAAATAATAATAGTGGCTAATATAATATAACAAATACTAACTCTGATAGTATTAATAACAATTCTGAAAAATAAGAAATACCCAATGTTAAACCGTTTCAAAACAAATTTTCTCGAGCACTATAATTGCAATTGCATTATGTATACTTTGTCAATGCAAGCAATTTACAAGAATATTACAAATAAAAATAAAGCTTTATATTTACTCAACAGAAAGAACAACATAGCTTACTTATTAAATATAAAAATTTACTCACAGGAGGACTTTGTAAAACAGTTTGATTTTGTGAGATTTTCATCTGTTTGACGGCCGCATTTATTGTCTGCAAGTCTATAAGCGCCTCTTCTGAAATTTTAAAATACAATGAATTAAGCCAATATACACGTGCAAATAGGTTTAAGGGGCACAACTAGTGTAAAATTTTCAAAAAATCGAATTTTCAATTTTTCCATATTTCGATAGGTTATACCTTTAAAAGTAACATACCAAAATTTTAAATCGATATCTTAAATAGTTTTTGTGTCACAGCCATTTAAAGAGTATATATATATAGTATATAGTATAACGATCATTTTATCTTTAAACGCGTTTTTCTCGAAATAGCATTTTCCGAATTTGCTGCAGCGATTACTCAAAAACAAATGATCCGATCACTACCAAATTTTTTTTACATATTCTATATATGGTTCTCTGTAAAATGAACTATCGATTTTTTGATCGGGTCAGACTTTTTTTTAAAAAACGCCGTCATTTTGGAATTTTCTTTTTTTTTCTTTATCGTCGTTCATTTACAGACAATATTATCTATTTTAACAAGAATTTTATTTTTTAAATTTTATCCACGTCGGAATCACTGCAGCAGTGAAGGGCCTTTTTGTGTTGCGCCGTTGGAGATCGACGATAACTTGAAAAATATTTAATTTTTTTCTTCAAAAATTTTACTGTGTATTCTTAAAACATGTATAAATATATTCCTGAAATTTTGAAATGATTGATAAAGTAGTTTTTTTAATATAAATTCCAAAAATCACATTTTTTTAGGCGGTTACACTAGTTGTGCCCCTTTATGATAGAATCCCAATACACAAATTTTATTGAAAACTTACTAATGCTATTAAAGATATCAATGATTTCAATTGGTATTATTATTTGGCTCTGCAAGTATAATCAAATATTGATAGATATATCGTTCAATCATTTCATTTAAATATCTGCTCTCAAAGCTCATGGTCTCTCTCGAGTAATTTTATAGTAAATCTCAATAAACTAAATTTTACAATTAGTACATAACTTTAAAGTGGTTTATGCATAGATATACCCTGTTATTTTTCAGCAGATATTTTTAAAGTTTCACTTAATATTGACTATTGCGTACAGAAGTTCTGATAACTGAATCAAAAGTACAAATATCAATATTAATTACCTAATACCGGATACTGTTTGCCACTCGGAGAATGTGGTGTGACGCTGATGGTCGGCACCAAGGGGCTGCTGTGAGCGGCCGGGAACCGCACCAGAAGCGTTCCCGCCGCCATGCCTCCAGTTCCCACTCCGCACCAGATACCGATAAGTAATCCATCACCAGATCTTCGTCACTGTCGTCTGCGAACTCATCTAATATATAAAAAAATATATTGTCTATAAAGTTCATACAAATATTTGACATGAATATATAAGTACCTACTTACATATTAAAATGTACATAGTTAATCTATGTATTATAAGATTGAAAAAACACCCTCAAAATTATATGTAGCACCCTTTTAAATTTTCTAAATAAACGAATCTTGGCATAAAACTAGCGGCGTATGACATCGTTTCGAAAATTTTTTCGAAAATTAAATAAAAAATGATATTTTCTCTCCTCATCATTACGAATTGATTGTTTTTTGATCATTCAAATCTGATTCTCCGTTCTCTTAAAACCCGATTTTTATTTCTGCACTCCTGCTCGTATCTCCGAAACGGCTGGACCTGCCTTTGACGTGGCCCGAATGATTTGATCCGTGCGCCCGAAACGTGGACGAAAAATTGTATCCATACATACAAACACACTCACCACACGCACATCCATTTTTTCTAAGGTATGCCAAAATGTTCAGAAACCTTGAAAACGTTAAGAAATGTAAAAATTTTCAATTTCAATTTTTGGACGTTTACAATAACCTACCCTACGTTAAGTTAATAATTACCTCAAATAAAGCTATAAGCCATGTAGAACCTAATTCATGAATATAAAAAATATAGAAGTCAAAAAGTTCATTATTAGACTATGGCTTAATAAAATATAAACTTACTTGAAAACTACAAGTCAATAAAGTTGCGTCATTTAATGTATTTCTTGTATTAGATGTATTAGATATACAATCCACAATTTTACCATTAAATAACAAAACAAACGAGTATAAAATACAATAAAGGAATGCTAAAATAATTTAATGTTGTGTCTTGATGAATGCTAGACGTTGTTTTGTTAATTATTGAGCTCATCTTTCGATAATTT